AACAGGGATAAATGCTGTAAACTTCTTGCCACAATCATAAACAAGAAATGGAACAAAAGTACTGACTACTTCAAAAAACTGTATTCAAAGATTCAAAGGATACCTCACAGACCACCGAGTCCATACGAACATACCTGACCGATAACCTTTAAACTAAAATCCCGGCGGAAGCTTTAGAAGCACTGGAAGCCCCACTGACTACCGAAGAACTGGCGCTGGCAACGTCGAGAGAGCTCGCTACTACAAACAGTTTTATGATGTCCTATCTCCACATTTCCTGTCAGCTTATAACTCATTGAAACAGGGACAGAGGCTTTCCTTCCAGATGCTCGAGGGTCTGATACCTAAGGGAGGGGAATATAGCCCTGATACCTAAAGTGGGCAAAGACATGAAGCAATGTGCCAACTACCGGCCTATCTCCCTATTGAATTGCGAAAAAGCTTTTTGCCAAAATCCTGGCATCCAGGCTGACACCCTACCTACCATCTCTTGTGAAACCGATCAAGTGAGCTTCATACCGCACAGTGAGGGGAGGGACAATACCTCCTGGATTCTGTCCTTGATCCATCACACACAGCAGACAGGCAGAAGTCTTCTTCTGCTATGCACCGACATGGAGAAGGTGTTTGACAGAGTAAGCTGGGACTTATTGTTTAGCACACACCTAGCTCTGGGGATGGGATCAAACATGTATACATGGATCACGGCACTGTATGCTGACCCATTGGCATTAACGGAGCATACATGGACGCATTCCACATCTGCAAAGTGACCAGAAAAGGCTGCTCACTATCATCTGTGCTGTTTGTCTTAGCCCTGGAACCGCTTTTACAGGTGATTAGGAGAAACCCAGCTATAAGCGGAATCGAGACAGGACCCTCAACACATAAGGTGGATGCGGAAGATCTGATCTTCTTCGTCTCTCTACCCCAACATTATGCAAGTATTTGAACTCAACGGAAGGATCTCTAACTTCAAGATTAACCTTACGAAATCCAACCTGCTCAATATAGGGCCGATGTACTAGGGCCGATGTACTACTCAGATAGGGCCAATGTACTACACCAGAGTTTCCACTTTCACTGGTCCAACAGGGTAATCAAATACCTGGAGACATGGATATCCCGAGACCTCACCCAACTATAAAGTCTTAACTTTACCCGATGCTCAACAACTTCAAGAAAAACCTGGAAGAATGAAAGTTGCTTCACTTGTCATGGCTTGGCCGCATCGCAGTGATAAAAATTAATCTCTTATCCCGCATCTTGTACCCATTCCAAACATTTCCCATTCAGATTCCGACAGCGTACTTTACGTCTCTGAGGTGCCAGGGCACACCGAGATTGAACTATCAAATGCTAACGTGACCGAAACTTGAAGGCGGTCTGGCAGTCCCTGACTTCCAACTTTACTACCGGGCTTCCCACTTGCAATGAATACTGGAATGGGTCAAGGATGGAGTAGTTAAGCCTTGGAATGAGATCAAACGAGTTCAAGCTGGCAGCTGTCTGAAAGCATTGTCATGGATGAACCCAACAATCGGAAGACGTATCTCGCACCATCAACCACTGATGAAGGCCACCTTGGAAGTATGGCACAGAGCGGCCTCGCTGATGGGCCTCTAATCCTTCGCATCCCCTCTCTACCCAACAACCCAGACTTCACTTCGGGCATGGACTCATGGGCATTCACATGCCTGACACCACTGACACACATTTAAGTAAGACAACAAAATCAAACCCATCAGTGACTTCCTTGATGGCCCACACATTACCTTCCTAAACAGACTGAAATATGAACAGATCTGACAGTTCCTGAAAAACATCCCACAGAAACTCGACAGCCAGGGGATAGACCCAAACCCACTTTTACACGCCATCTCCCACTTATACACACTGCTCCTACACAATAAGAACCTCCCACCACCTCCCTACATGGGTAAATGGGAAATGATGACGGGTGACATTTTCACAGAACAACAATGGGTCAAAATATGTGGCCTTACACACAACTGAGCTCTGGCAAGTAAACCCAGCATACAAAGTTTTTGACCCTATGGTATAGAACACTGCATATTTTGCAGAAAATTAACCCAGACCTGAGTGACAGGTGCTGGCAATGCTACACCGGGGTGGGCACATTTCTGCACATATGGTGGGAATGATCAGTAGGGCGCTACAAAAGTTCTCATAAAACCCACCCACTTCAAACCTACAGCATGCATCTTACACCGCACTACAACATGACAGCCAATTATAAAAAATCCCTGACTATTTGGATACTGAGCACAGCAAAACACATCGTGCGTCTGTATTGGAAGACAGACACACACTCTCCGTTAATGACCTGGTTTGAGAAAATGGAGGAGCTATGTGGACTTGAAGACTTGATGTTCACAGCACAGGGCCGCTCACAAAGTACTCAGACATATGGACACTTTGGCTAGTAGAAGTCTACCGCCCCAAATGTCCATTCAAGCTGGTGACCGACACTCCTCCACCCTGGCTCACCGCTCAAAACTGAACCACCACATACGGAGGGCAGGAGAGGGAGGCTGGAACGAGGGCCCACAAAGAAAACAACCAGGCGGTGGACCATCGTGCCAGAGGACGCGCATATGATAGGGAGACTGGAACCAGGAGCAACACCACTATTATAAGGTAAAATGATCCCCGTTAACAGTACACTAATACAAGACTCCATAGGACACACCACAATACTACCCACACTATCTAAACATATGTTGCTTTGTTTTGATTTGCATTATATGCTGGTATGTAACCTTCATGACATGATGATATATGATGTACGGTAAATATTATTTTCCTTAACTACTTGACTTGCCTATTGCAGCCCTGCGTGGCTAGCATATTGAAAGTACATTTGCATGTCATGGACCTGCGAGTCCTACCTCTTTACTGCAGTCTAAAAAGAAATGAAACATTCAATAAAAATTGATAATAAAACTTTAATTTACAAAAAAAAAAAGAGGTGTATAGTTCACAACACAACAATAGAAGTGTAAAACCAAATAAAAAAATTTATGGAAAATAGCATTTCCAAATTGCTCAATCCTAAGCACATAGGTGGTTTGTATCCCAACTAAGAATATAATGATCAGGTAGCAAGCAGCAGTTGTAAGGTCCATATATAAAAAAATACTTTATTAATCAAACAATAAAAGTATATAGTAATAAGAATATGAAAACAATGTTTAATAGTACAATAACGCCAAAAAGTGGGCTTTGAGAAAGAATTGCTCTAGCAGGCCGTTGGGGAGCTAATGATGTTACAGGGACCATAGTCCAATGCTCTACTAAAGAGCCACTGATCAGATAGGACCATTGGGACCACCACTATCCCCCTAACACCTCTCACTCACACTCACAGACATCCTATGAGCATTCCAGAGCGCCTGGGTAGCATCTGACCCTACATTAAAAGTAATTACATGTTTAAAAAATGAGAAGTGAAACCTTCATGACAGTTGACATTTAAATTATGCCATTTGATTCTCAAGTAATCATTGCCTGTTGCTTTGTGAATAAGTTCAAAATTAAAAACAAGTTTATAATTACACCATGAAAAGATTTAGACTGCCAATAACATATTTAAAATATATTTGTAATAAGGTTCATCATTAGCCTTAAATCTGCAGCCTATACATGTATCTAATGAAACAACAGCATTTTGTAATAGAAATTAAGCTACTTAATACCATTTTACATTTTCTAAAATAATCCTTCTTAACAAATACAAGCATCCTTCTGATTACTGTTCTATTTTAAATCCCCTGCAATTGGCTTTAAACCAGGAAGACAACAAAAATCATCTTTGAAGTATAATAGGTCATGTAAGCTTGAAGTATCCCTAAAGCTTTGGATTAAAGTGCACTGCATCACACCAAATCAAATGTTCTTTACATTATCACATCCCTGACATTTAAAAGAAGTGTGCATGCTGTAGATGTCATGTTACTCTTTAGTTGTCTATTTTAAATCCTTTCCATCTGCAGGGTGAAAAACCAAACAGTAAAGAACAATATCACATGCTATTCATAGCTTTATCAACGTCAGTCTCATTGGTTGATTGTAATTAGCACATGTTTTGCAACTGTTGATGGACACAAAACACATTCCAATAAAAACACAGTTTGGTTTATTAACAGTACCAATAATTGTGAAGGATTTAGGGAAAATAGTCAAATGAGAAAACTTCTCCAACTAATCAATTTTTTCCAGATTAGATGGGTTTTTTCCAGTTTGCAGTTCCCCTGTCCTTTTCCAATAATTCCTGATTTTGCAAATGTGTGCATTTAACCTCTTAAGGACCAAACTTCTGGAATAAAAGGGAATCATGACATGTCACACATGTCATGTGTAGGGGTTAAAAAGCCTTAGACTAAATAATATGATGATTACACACAATAACATAATGAATTATTATGTTTTAATATATTTTATTAACATTGTGGTGAAACCAAACCAAATAAACCAACTATCTTTTAATGTGTGGAATGGCATATTTAAAAGGGACACTAAAGTCACCAGAACAACTACAGCTTATTGAATTTGTTCTGGTGAGTAGAATCATTACCTTCAGGCTTTTTGCAGTAAACACTGTCTTTTCAGAGAAAATGCGGTGTTTACATTACAGCCTATTAATAACTTAACTGGTCACTCCTCAGATAGCTGTTAGACATCCTTCCTGGGTCATGGCTGCCTAAAATGCATCCAAACATTCAGTATCTCCTCCCTCTGCGTGCAGACACTGAACTTTCCTCAAAGAGATGCATTGATTCAATTCACCTCTATGATGAGATGCTGATTGGCCAGGGTGTTTAAATCATGCTGGCTCTGCCCATGATCTGCCTCTTTGTCAGTCTCAGCCAATCCTATGGGGAAGCACTGTGATTGGATCGGGCTACCACTTCTGATGATGTCAGCAGACTGCTTGTTATTCTGAGTCTAACAGCATGCAGAGTTACAGCTTCAGGCTTGAATACAGTACGATTTTGCTATAATTATGGAGGCATGAGGGGCCTAGGGGGGCTAGATGGTGGTTTTAACACTATAGGGTCAGGAATACATGTTTGTGTTCCTGACCCTATAGTGATCCTCTAATTGTAGGGTGTTATCTGACATTACATTTTTGCTATCTGAACATCCCAAGCCCAAATATTTAGGGGGGAGAAACAGTCTGGCCCTTTATTTCTATCCTAACGTTCCTCTTTTCTAGGAGCTCCATATTGGTGGTGTGTCTGAATATATAACAGAGCTCAACAGCAATAATACTAACAGTAAATTAGTCTGTATACATATGGTAAATTGATCTTGCTTAACATTACATTTTAGTTGTATAAATTAGTAAGTCTCCTAAGATTTCTCAGAACAGGTCTGCCCATGGTCACACCACCAATCTCACTCATAAAATTAAAGTGTCCCTCCTTATTCATATGAAATGTTGGTTGGCATAACATCCCATCATGGCTCCTCTTCACACTCTTGCAATTACTAACTCCAAATTATGTAATTTAAAGCCTCCACACTGCATATGCATATGGGCTGTTCCTTAATCTGTATTTGTATATTAGAAACTGCCTTCATATCTCATGCCTCCCAACTGTCCACCTATCGGCTGGACAGTCCCTATTTTGGGGTGCTATTACATCATCCCACTTTAGTTCCCTGGTGTCCCGAATGTGGGTACTGTCCCCGGGCACAGTGTAAGTACATTATTATATGCGTTCTTACTGTGGCAGTAGGACTATGCCAGGAGCACTTCAGCAGTGGTTACTGCTTGGTCCTGATAGCTACTGATCAAGTGGTGGACCTGCCCCTAATGTGGACTAAACTGCCCCTCTCCCTGAGCAGCCTTCGCTCATTGTGGGTATCACTAGTTATGCAGCCCAAGTCACTAATTATGCAGCCCAAGTCACTGGTCATGGCCCCCCAAACTCCACCCATCTCTGGAGTCTTGGGAGGTATGGGTCTTGAGAGGTAGAATATCTAGTAGTGTACATCTAATTGCAGTGAAAACTGAATTACAAAATTTAGGCCAATAGTCAGCTATAGTCATCTCTTGGCTATTTTGTATGAATTCTAAATGTTCTTTTTATATTCATTGGAATGTAATATTTCATGAATACACCCATTTATATTTCCCTCACCTTATGTTGAGGTTGCCTGCTTCTTTAAGTATATTTACATTTCTTCTAAGTGGCTAGATGCAATATATAGATGGTGTTAAATTATTTGCAGGGTTGCTATTTATTCCCCTGACAGCCGTGATGTGCTTTGAAATGGCAGGGCCTATTTCTTGTCCCTGTCCAACCCTAATAAACCTTCTTTTATATGGTCTAAAATATTGACTAGTTCACTGCCATCCTGGCATGGGTTACTTTATAAAAAAAAAGCTAAATGGAGAAATAACTGCTGCTTTATCATACTGTTTGTTTACCAACCTACAGATAAAAGCAAACTGAATGTGACTTGTAGGCATTATGCTTCAGTAAGCAAACTCATGTTAGTCTTGTCAACTGTAAAAAGAAATTTGGGAATTAAGCCAATTCTTGGAGCAAATGAGATCTGGAAATGTTAATTTTAAGATGAATGAGGTGGATACTGGGGAAATGGGAAGAAGGCAGTATTTGACATTGGAGATAGTTAAATAGTTGTATCCTCTCCCTTCTTGAAATCATTGGTTAATCTTTGTACCCTGTTTGTTTCTATCAAATTTTCTTACATTATTAGTAATTGTTAACCATAGGCATAATAGCATTCCTCAGAGGTGTACCTAGAGCATTTGGCACCCGGGGCAGTTCTTGTATTTGGCACCCCTCCAGCTCCTTGTCATCTACCTCAGACAAGGCGTATGAAATTAAATTCATAGCAAAAAGAGCTACAATAACAGAAAAGTAAGACACCATTGTGTGATATACCTCACTTTATTCAGAGCTACAATAACAGAAAAGAAAGACACCATTGTGTGATATACCTCACTTTATTAACTACATAATATAATAATGCAGAAAAAACACTTGCCAAAGATGTTAATATGTAAAGAAAAAAAATGGAAAAAAATGGTGTAGCTGCAGCACTCCAGGGAAAATCCTAACAGTAATACTGTCATATCTGGTGACAACACATGTACCTCCTCAGCTGCTCAGTGCGAGAGCCCCCAGGGAAGGGGGGTCATTACATTCTCTGGTGGTCCGGTGATATCATGCAGGCTGCCAGTATATTATAGAGGTGGCCCAGCAAATGCCATCTTCAGCTTCTGGCAGCTTCTCTATCCAACTCTGGCGAGCGTGCATGCCACGTTGAGAGTTTCTATGATAACCTGGGGGAAACGCTCTGATGTCATGAGGTGAAGAGAGATGCTACCAGAAACTAAAGATGTTGATTCCTGGACCTTAACTTCACCATGCTGCAGCATGGTGAAGATAAATAAAATAGATTATAAATTATGGTCAAAAGTAGCCAAATTGTGACTATAGCTGGGACAGATAATTTTGTAAATCAGCACTTTCTTTTTGCCTAAATTCAGTGCTGGATTTAGGTCATCATAGTCCAGTGGCAGAAAACGTTGATGGGCCAAATGAGAGAAGTTACATTTACACTTAATTGTCATAATTATGGCCTATATGTGTAACAAATGGCACACACCAACTGGTCCATCCAACTTCTGAACTCTCTTCTATGCGACGGCAAAGTCTGGCTTTGAGACTTTGCACTTAACATGAAATTCAGTGTAGAAGGATGATTATATTAAGATATTATTAACCAAAAAAGTTTATATAAACGAAGTGCCACATTAGTGGCAGCAACCTAGATTAGTAATTCCCTGGCTAAAGCTGCAAGCTGGCATCCAACGTGTCAGAGTCATACAGGAAGTTTGCTCTGCTTGAGGAAACGTCCTTACTGAGGGCAAATCACAACTAAGGGCAGTCAGGGTAAATAATGGATCAGAGGTGGGTGTAACAGAAGAGTAACACCCATGCAGCAGAGGAAATGGATCTTTGGTAAATTAAGCATCTCTCAAAATGTTATATTGAATAGAGGTGTCAGTTTATAATATGGCAGACAGACAGACAGAAAGTTACATAGATTATATTCACGCACAGACATTACACAAATATATAGGTCTTACAGGAACCTTTTAACAGAAATCCCATTATGTATTCTAAAAAGGTAATTTTTCTTAGGTTTTGTAAATAAGAGTTACTACAGCTGTATAAAAATGAATGCAGCATTATAGTACATATTATAGCAACCTCACACTTTAATTACTTAGTTTATTACTTTTTTAAAAAATCTTTTTGAACTTTTCATTAACATTTTTTTTCTGGGAACAACTTTGCTATAAGCTGTTATTACAGTCCATTACAGTTCAGTAAATACAGTATATATATGCTTGAAGTGTTCCATTAAAGTAACAAAACCACAACAGCTTAATGTAGTGGTGACTAAATGCTGTACCTGCAGTCTGACACAATCATTCAGAGAAACAGTCCCTCCATTCAGAGATACAACAATGTTTTTTTAGTTGTCAGCCAGTATACCTGTGGTGGTTGTCAATCAGAGGCACTAGAGACACTTCATCCTAGTAGGCCTTTCATTTTTTTAAGGAGCACACATTTGGTGTCATGATAACACTGAACATAACCAAACTTGCCCATGGAGAGGCAATATAATATTTCTATAGCAGGAATCCTATTGGTGCTGTGAATGTGCAGGAATGCCCTTAATTCTTCTCTATGGAGAATTATTGGATTAGCCCGAGATCATCCTACTGATAAAGGAGAGAAAAGTTGAGTGACTGCTGCAGTGAGACCGGGACACCAACAGATGAGAGATGAGATTATCTTTATTATTATTATTTATTTTTTGGGAGAGTGGGGCCCATTATCATGAACATGCTGACATTAGCAACAGAAATAGTGTTAGAGTATTCCTCCAATTTACACTTTGTTATTTGAAACTGTGTACAGAAATATTACATTATAAAGCGATTGAAGCATGTTTTTATAGATGTCATAAAGAATTGCATGAAAAAGAACATACAATAATTGACTTGGATATTCACTAATGTGACCTTGGTTGAAAGACTTAGATTTGGCAATTAAACTCAGCAAGGCCATGTGTGAGTTGAAGACTTCACGGTTCATGAATTAGAAGAGAATTAATGTACCAAGGGCAGTAACGCCTTTATTATCATTATTGTGTAAACATGAATGTTACAGGTATGTCATCAAACCCCAAAAAGATGTATATATGAATGGTTGTATTCTAAAAAAAAAATTAAAAAAAAATTTAAAAAACTATTTTATCTGAATTTTACAGATGGGCAGCTCAGCTGAATAGTAATAGAAGGAAATGCAACATTACAAGCAGGTGATCAATCAGCAACCAAATGCTGCAACCAAGATCACCAGCTGCTTCATGCATATCAGTAAGTAAATGTGTTCCCATCCAAGTGTGCATAGCACTTGGGAAGTTCCTGGAAATCATGGTCATAACACTGCAGTATCTCTCGGGATACCTGTGTGATGGCGCATCCTTTCATATGTGTGTCTCGCTGTACATCTTATAGCACATGAAGGACATTGTGGAACTAATATGAAAGGACAATGTGTGGCCATATGACAACACATGCAGTTGGGTTTGAATATAACAACTTATTTTGGTGTAATATAACAACATCTAAGCAATATAAAGCAGATAATATGATAAGGAATGTTACAATGGGGGGTCAGTACTGTATTGGATCATTGCTTTGTAGAACTATAGTGTATGTGGGTATCGTCAGGATATCAAGGCTCTGTTCAGGGGGCTGGTTGAAAGTCCTGAAAACTTGGGGTTCTGTAAATAAATGTGGTCTGGCTGAGGACGTGTGTTCTCAATTTGAGCTGTCTTCTCAATTCAGCCACAAGCACAAGTTATTTCCCTTATAAGAGTAGAACAGCTTTAACCTGGCTGCAACTTTACACTGCAGCGCCGGTACGGGGAGGATAAGATCACAAGTTACTTTCTCCCAACACTGGCTCCACTGGAGAGGGATATTTCCCACAGATCAAATGACAGGAAAGGTGTCTTCTCTCAGTCAGATTCATGAGAAAACATCTGTGCAGTATATGAGGAATAGAGAGGCCAGGAATAGTATCAAAACAATTTATTAAGCATAACATTAACCAACCCACGACAGCCTTGTATAAATAC